GTTTATTTTTGATACTCCTTAATTTGAAATATTCACACGAACGCGCGCACGGTGTCAATTGAATTTGTGTCAATGTGCGCATAACACTGTCAATTAAACGATATGACGATCTTGTAGGAAGGTTTAATAGAAAGGGTATAAGATGGCATGTATTTTTGTAAGGTTCTCGATTGTAAAGGTTAAGGATTTTTTATATTGTATATAGGAAGAAAGGAACAGTATATCATAGCAATATATTGCCTGTAATACTGTATGTTTAAGTTATTTGCAATAGTATATAATAATATGATAAATTAATATGTTGCGGTCTGTTTGTTTAATAACGATGCTGAGGTATAATTATGGTAATATATTGCGTACTTGTGATATACGACGCAACGGTATATGCTAGGACGAAAGAGCGTGATATTATATTTAACCGGACAGCAAGTCAGCAACTTAGTGTGAATCTACACTATATATAAGCGTAAACTAACACTCCGAAGATCTTTTTACACGCGGCTTTGGTGTAAAGCACCACTTGCCTCTGTGACATCAACTTGGTGTAAATCCACACTCATGGAAGCGTAAACGAACACCTCCGACGGGTATTTTTACACTGCATTGAAAACGTATTTATTGAATACATGGATGCAGCTACTGATATGGTTTGTGGTGTTAACATGCATCCAATTAATGTCTATAGGTAGCCATATTCAATATAAACGAATCTAATGTAAAACTATATATATACCTTTTTCTGCAAATGCTGGTTAAAATTGTATGTTATTTACTGACAATTACCGCAAGTTACTGAACAATGAAGTGATATTATAGAAAGTACAAAACTATAATTATTTTTAAAGTTTAAAACTATAGTCTATATATTACATATTTTGATAAAGTGATATTGACTTATAGTACAGCTATTGCCCAATAATCCCCTGAAAACGCCAGATTAATTAACTCTTGTTACGTTCTCGGCAATGTTCCACGGCGGTGCATGAGTATGCAGTACTGTGCACAATACACTCAATATACAAACTCAATAAAATAAAAGTTAATTAATAAAAGTTAATTTAATTTAATAAGACTGTCAGAACATGTACATCCGTTTTTCTTTCCATTGTTACATGAAGAAAATTGCAAAGACAATCGAAAGCAGAAGCACAATACTGGCTGTTTGATGAGAACTTCTAGCCACAGGATCTGTTTGAGCAAAAATACGAGTTGGTCCACCAGTACCACCTTTAATCTTCATTGGTGACACATAGACGATCGCACCTCTGGCTGGAAGTTTTTCGATATTTTTGACATTTTCCAGACCAAACAGTTCGTTACTCAATAATATTTGATGTGCGAAGAAGTCTTTGCTTTGGCCACGGTCAAGAGAACGAACATCCAAACCAACACCTTTGATTTTACCACTATCAACCATCCACTGGGCAGCGTCCTTGCCAATACCTGAAAACGACAACTACCATTATTTGCAATGAAAATTGACATAGATATGGACAAATACATTGTTAAAGCAGAGGATTAGGCCAGACGTCTTGTATTCATTGGTTTATGGATTTGACTTAGATTTGGCGGAAAAATTTAAAACGGAAACACAAAACTGAGTAATGTCAACCAAATTTAATAATCTCTCTATTTTTCAAACTTGCTACTCGGACTGATGTTTTGTCTTGGTTGTTTGTTTGTGATGACTTATATCTCTATTATGAGTATTTCTTAAAGAAAGAAATTCCCCGATAGTCGTATTATTATATTTTACTTGTCTCAGTTTTATCTTCTAAACATTTAACTTCTACCTGAAAAAACATGGCTAATCTCCATATTGATCATACCAGTATACCACAACATTGAAATGAATATAACTGGAACGCTCAGATAAACCAACCTCGGTTCCAGGGTCTTTCTTCCTAACAACCCTGGGAACGAGGTTGCAGATAAACTGCCTATCCTCCTCTTGAAGCCAAACCTTGATCCCCAGACTCTGGGGGTAAAACCCGCGTGTTTATATCATGATTGACTGAATATTGGCTTCAAATGTCCGGTTGGAGGTGGCGTTCCCGCATTCATTTCAATCACCACAACGATAACACAAGTCAGCAGTACTTGGAGTCTAAGTTCATTTTGGCGTGTACTTCATGTCAGAATCCCAAAACTAAGATTTATTGTAAAATTGTTGTGACCTTCCCAATATTTTTTTCACCGTTTCTGAATTTTCACGGATTCGTATAAGCCAATGAATAAAAAAGTCTGGCTTTATGAGACTGCTGCATGTACTGCGTTCATAAACCGTACAACTCATTTCAGTATTTCGAATATAAGGGACCGGTCATAAAGTAACTGCTAGGGTGGGCTGGAGTGATTTGGGATGGGCCATGGAAAATCTTTGGGCAGTTTCGATGGGCTGCCAATTTTTTGGTATGTCCATGGTTGGGCCACCAAACAAAAACCCATGTTAAATATATTACATAAAGGTATTAATAATAAAAGTAAACAAAACTATCCAAATTATCAAATGCAAATTATGCTATTGAAGCCAGTACTTTGTTTTATACAACAACAAGAAGTGGTCGAATCACAGCAAATACAACCAACTGGAGAGCAGCTCAGTATCGTAATTGGTGATGAATGTGTTGGTCAAGCATGGTGTAATTATGTATGTCAATACAGTGCCAGTGTATATTTACAATGTTCATACCTGCAAGTTTTTTTTGTTATAAAATTGTATTTTCCCAATTTAGATTGGATGGGTGGGTCATGAAATAAATTTGGCAAGATTAGATGGGCTTTGAAATTTTTATCTACATCCTAAGATGGGTCACCAAACTTATTGGCAAAATTTGTGATTTATCTCCAGCCCACCCTAGCAATTACTTTATGACTAGTCCCTAATCACATGCTATTATATGCAGGTTAATTTGTGATGTTTTACATCCTACTGCACTTGTAATTTTTGTTGCAATTTCTCGTAAGATTTTCATCTTCTGATGCATGTAGTCTAGATGAGTTGTGAATGTTCTGAGTAAATGTCATTAATAACTCATCCACTCGTTCACTTCAATCAGAAGAAGAAATGCAGCAAAAATTGCAAATGTAAATGTGGCTCAAGGTAACAACCGGCTACCGTGCAAGGCAAAGGGTCATTAATGAAGTAGTCTTTGTTCGACAATGTATTGTCCAGTATTGTATAGTGTACTTAAAACTGAACTTATAACTATTAAGCTGCTTAATGGGTGTCAGTCTGTCAGACCAGACAGACCTGAATGCAATGTGTTTTTACGAGTTCTTAGTTAATGTAGATTGAAGATTAATGACCACTGCTGGATCATCAATGACGTTCATCAATGACGTGAATCACTTGTGGAATTGTGGTAAGTACACATATAAAAAATGTAACGATTCATCAAGAATACACGCTACACACGTGAAACGCGCACACTCAGGGCATCTGCGCTTGTCGCTTTCACAGGGTCGAATTAAGGTTGAATTTTTTTTACTAGTTATTATTATTATTATTATTATTATTATTAATTTGCAGCAGAATTGTACCAATGCTGTTACAACACAGGGGGTCCAACTAAGAGCTGTGTTATGAATATGAATAAAACATTAATTAAACGTAATATGAATAAAACATCATAACGTAATATATTTAAATTATTGCACTTACTTGTATAAATCATAAGAGCTTGTATTTGCAGTGAAT